TATTCAATTTTATGAAAACTACAGCATAATAACAAATCAAAATCACACTAAATACCCGTGGAACACTATATTCATCGTGTAAGTTCAAAGATAAAGCAGAAGGGTTTTCAGTTTATCTACTGATGTCATGATAAAATGAACTATCTAAAGAATGAAATATCTAGCTGTATCATAGGAGAGTCTAGGTTAATTCACATAGGTATAAGGTGTCTCCCGAGAATTCATTTCCATTTTCAACTTCTCGCCTCAGCAATAGCAATCAGGTATGATCTATTTTAAAAGAGCTATTGTTACCTACTGAAGAATACATGCGGATTCTTTGATACCTCATTTTTTTCGTAAATTTTTACCTAGGTAACTTGTCACAGAAATATGTTATTTATACACTGTTTCCATTTTCAATTGTTTGTCTGAGAAGATCTCAATGTATTAGAAGAACTAGAAGTTGTTCTTATATCAAATCTGGAACAGTTTAGTTATAAGTTTTTGATATTTAAGTTAGCTGTTAGATATAAGTATAATCATTACGATAGTGATAAAAAAGTTTGAGTCCGATGTTTGTTTGATAGAGCTAAGATAGTCTGCAATTCAGTTCGTAATCTAGAAGCGAAAGTAACTGATAATGAAACCGTTTTGGAGAAAAACGCGTATCCGAAACAATTTGTAGAAATGCACTCAGTGAAATTGGTAAAGATTGTAAACCACATATACATATGAAAAATCAACACAAATCCAATAGCAAACACGTATCTGACAACTTACCTTATGTTCCTGGTTTGTCCAAAAAATTGCAACGAATCGATTACAAATATGATATAAGAATAACTTTTAGAACTATCAGTACACTGGGATCGCTTCTGACATAAATAAAATTCGAGTATACTGGTGAAAAAACGATAGATGTGTATTTCGAACAGCTCTGAAAAAATGGATCATATACGGTTGCTATTGCTGAGGCGAGAATTTTAAAACGGAAATATGAAACTAAACCGGAATCTTAGAAAACATCCTGTATGTGTAATGATGCAGACTAGAGAATTTTATTCTTTTGACGTTTGTCACCGGTTTTTATGTGAGGTGTTTTTTACAAGTGAATTTTTTGGGTTTGGGAACAGAAATACAAAAAACTTCGAAAACAAGCCATTTACCCGGTCTACCTCACTTTCAAGAAACAATAATAAGCGTTGACATACTTTGTAGAGCCTATTAATAAAATTTTTCTTCAAGGACAAAACACAAGCACTACAGGAAAGTCCCCAAGGCGCTCTAAGAGCGGTGCCTGTGCGAAAATAGCGATTCACGTTGGATTTGAATCGCTGGAGATAAATTCGTTTGCAAAAACGTTCTCAGAAAGTGTATTCAACATGAACGCAGTTCTCCAAATGGAAGAGTTCTTAAACAGTTGAGTTAGAAGTGTAATGAGTCGTACCTCAAAACGACGAGCAGCCACAGTCCGTCGGATATTTCTGATATGTACCGCTCTTGGTGGAATCAAATGTGCCAAGTCCCTTGAACACCTCCCGTGAAAAAAAAAATAAAAGAGAGACAAATCTCCAACCTTTCTTCGATATTCCAGACGGTCAAGGTTACAAGTAATGTTCGCTGCTCCAATCAGACGGATAGCTCTTTTATGAATGGAATCCAATAGCTTCAGAGTATGCTTATGGGCGGAACTCCATACATGAGAACAATACTCCAAAGAAGGTCTGATCTGAGCTTTATAAAGCATCAAACATTTCTGATGTGTGTGTGTGTGTGTGTGTACAGTTTTCTAGTTCGGAACAGTGTTCCAACCTTTTGAGAAGCAGCTTTTGCAATTCCAGCGAAATGATTGTGCCAAAACATATTGGTGTCCATTTTAACTCCCAACAAACTTATCGAAGCAGAAAGCAGAATTGCCTATCCTGACATTATTATATCCGGTTAGGAGACATTTATCTTTTTGAAGAAAAGCGATACCTAGGTTTTCGTGGCATTGAATTGAACCTGCACCACAATGTAAAACACCTCTACATCCTTATTAATCCAACCTCTGGTGCCGGTGAAGATGTGCAGCCGATTTTCTGGAATCCAAATGGAATGACGAGACAATACAATAAAAAAAGGGTTGGAGACAATATGGAACACTGGGGAACACCAGCATTAATGGTTGAAATATCCGAGAGATATCCATCGACGGCCACTTGCAGGAAACGCTTTTTGAGGAAGCTGGAGAGCCATACTGAAAAATGATCTGACAAGCCATAGCATCGAAGTTTGGTCAGCAAACCAGCAAACACGGTCAAAGGTCTTAGAACTATCAAGCGCAACAGCTTTTGACTCTCCATGTTTCTCGACTGCGTTATTCCAAATATGAGTGACATACAATAGATCAAGATGTTGAAGCCTTCCTAATATTCAAGAATATGGTGGTTTACGGCTTTCTCCATGATTTTTTATGTCTTTGATAGCAGATGGAAGATTGTTCTTGCCTTTTTGGGGAATAGGCTGAATGCGAGCAATCTTTCAACGAGAAGGATAAACTTCTTTCTCGTAGTACAGGTTGAAATGTCTGCAAAATACTGTTCCGAGTTTTTAAGTACGATGACTGGCACTTCATCAGGATCAGACGCCTTGTTAACATTAAGCTATTTCAAAATTCGCCTGACTAGACGTTGTCGAAAAGTAATTTCTGGCATAATGGATTCTAGTATGGGAGGCAAATTGTTCACCTAGTAGAATTGATTTTTCTATGGATGTTGTTGCATTTGAACCATCCGCTTGTGTTGGTGGTGGAATTGTGGATTTTGTAAAGTTTTAGCTATCGACCAGAAGGATCTAGACCCGTTGGGATTTACAAGCAATTTATACCTTATTCTCTGTTTTCGGCACCGGGATTTTTGCGCCATTGCCGGTGGGTGAGATTTTTGAAGGCGACAGCTTCCTCGCCATCTTTGTTGAACCAAGGTTTGAAGTTAGAAGCTTGTTCGTTGGAGCGTTTAAAGGACGACATCGCTAAAAAATGTTACCATTTGAAAAAAATGTGCTATTTCATCAAGGCAATGCACCGTGGCATCAAACGATGAAAAAGGTGGCAAAATTTCATGTATTGGGCTTCGAATTGCTTCCGCATCCTCCGCATTCTCCAGATATAGCCCCCAGCGACTTTTTCCTATTCTCAGACCTCAAGAGAATGTTCGTTGGAAAAAAATTCAGCAAACTTTGTTGAACCAACGTTTGCCGTTAGAAGTTCGTTCGTTGGAGAGTTTGAAGAACGGAATCGCGAAAAAATGGTCTCATTTGAAAAAAAAAGTGCTATTTCATCAAGACAATGCAAAGTGTCACCACCAATCAATGAAAACCGTGGCAAATTTGCATGTATTAGGCTTCGAATTGGTTCTGCATCCACCGCATTTTCCAGATCTAGCCCCCAGCGACTTTTTCCTATTCTCAGACTTCAAGGGAATGCTCTTTGGAAAGAAATTCAGCAAACTTTGTTGAACCAAGGTTTGCCGTTAGAAGTTTGTTCGTTGGAGCGTTTGAAGAATGGTCCCATTTGAAAAAACAGTGCTTATTCCATCAAGACAAAGCATCGTGTCACCAATCAATTTTTGCCACCAACGGTGGCAAAATTGCATGAATTGGGCTCCAAATTGTTTCTGTATCTACCGTATTTTCTAGATCTAGCCCCCAGCGACTTTTTCTCAGATTTTAAGAGAATGTTCGTTGGAAAGAAATTCAGATGAAGAGGTGATTGTCAAAACTGAGACCCATTGAACGGTTACAGATAAATCGTACAATAAAAATGGTATCGAAAAATCGCTATAATCTTTGTATCTCCTTCGAAAGCAACTATATTGAATAATAAAATGAAATTTTGTAATTAGTATATAAATATAGCCTAAGAACTTTTCAGAACAATGTATACTTATAGATAATTTTACTACTTTTGAGATTGTATTCGACCAATTTTATTTCTGAACCAATTATAGCCTAAAACTTATTTCCCACAAATTAATCACTCCTAAAAATATAACCCCTTCAATTCAAATGAGATTCCTCTTGGCTAGGATTAAATCAAATAGGTGAATGAATGTCATTACGATGTCATCGATGACATAAGCAGTTCAAGCTAATTCCGTGACAATAAAAATCGTAATTAATGAATGAATTATGTGTATTTTCTATAATGTTATCCAATTTGGTACTGAAAAGCCTCAAGGCAAGTGTCTTACGGCGAAACATCGATGTATACCAGTGAGGATGACAGTGTTCCATGTAAGTGCAATTTATTACCATTAATTTAAAGTAGAAATCATGCGAATGATATCTGATTTTGATCCGTAACGAATGTTTGGAATACAAACTGAGTAGAGAAAAGTATCTTCTGTATAATTCAGTGCTCATATAAGAGTATTTGTTTCGAAAGAATTTTTTTTCTTTCGTGTAATTCAATGTTTTTATGAAAGTAGCTGTTTCAGGAGGACTTTCTTCCGGTTTGTGTCTGAAAGTTACTTCTTTGCATGATCTACATATCCATGTATAGAGTTACTTATTTTCAAATTGATTACTTCCTTCCTTTTTTTTGGAAGATTCCCACATCTCCTTTTTTTGTATCAAGATGGAGTAGTAGAAAGCCAAAAACTTTCTTTCCAACAAATTAATCACTCCTAAGAATATAACCCCTTTAATTCATACATAGTTTGCTTGGTAGAAAAATAGGCGTAGTATTCAACTACGAAACAATACACATTTGAAACGTTCTTTTTTTCAAATGAAGAGAAATGTATCGTATTTTGAAAACTGAACTACATTTTTAAAAACATCATTTCTATAGAGAAAACCAAAAAAAAAATGCAATACGTGTTGGTACAATTTCCACAAATATTTTCTGTGATAACTATTTAAAATATTATCAAGGACACTTCAAACTACATGTCCCAAAACTATAATGTGTTGATGTTTATTATGCTATCTGTTTGCTGTCTACAGAATATTCTTTATTGTACTTCATTTCTTACCTGAGCTAGACAAACCCCGTCTTCTCCATCGGGACTACATGCTGCGTAAAGTGGACTATTCGTCCCCATGGTCGCGTGAAGGACTATGCAAACCCTTTGGTGATGTCGGGCGAGTAAAACCTGTCGCCTACCACCTGGATCAGTTCCGGTGTGGAAAAGAACGCGCAAAACGGGAGAGTCTCGAGGTACCTCGTTTCGAACAATATGAGCGGACATGTCCAGATGGTGTGTTACTTGGTCTTGGAGATCGATCGCTGGAACTAAAAACAATTCATATCAGAATGCGACAGATTTTTTTTGTATAAAAAATCTGATTTCGAACGTGTCTTTTATGGTGATCTCAAGGAAGCGGGTAGTTTTCTTGGATTGTTTAGGAAAAAATCACATTCAGTGAAGAAGAAATTCAAACACGGAAGGATTTTTTCCTTTCGTGTGATTCGATGTTCATGTGAAAGTAGTTGTTTCGAAAGGTTTTTTTTTCAGTTTGTATGTGAAACAAACTTCTGTGTACTCGTATGCATCACATATCTTCAAAAAGAGTTTTTTTGTAGATACTTTTTTTTTCTTCGAAAGTTTCCCACATTTTTGTTTATTGTTGGAGAAGTAGAAAGCCAAAATACTTCTTTCCAAGAACAGATACCTCATAAACATATTCCATTTTCAATTCGAACGAAACTCCCATGACCTGATTAATCTGGTAACTTGTTTTATTTTATTGACATATTTCAACTATTTAAATGTAACATTCTTTTTGACACGGCCATCCGCACCAATAGTAAGTTGAGCCTTTTTTGTAACAAAATGTATATTATTGCATCATATTTTTTTGTAGCTCTTCCTTAATAATGATAATAAACTTTATCGAAATATTGGAATAACTTGTGTTATAAGAGTACACTTACGTTCTGCTGATCACCCAAAGATAGTTCCTAAGTTTTGTTTCTAACTAGTCAGCAAAAACAGTAAGTCGTGACCTTTCACATGTATAAGAAAAATCACTCGGATCACAAAACAATTGGAGAAGTGTAAGGATGATATAGATCACATGGGAGGTGTAAATAAAATTTCTTACAAGTTGGAAATTGTCTTACGAGAGCGTAACGGTGAGTACTTTTTTTTTAATTTAAATAGAACATTTCAAATGGCATCATCAAATATTTGACCAATTTTCTCACGAGGTTGGCTTCTAATAAATTTATCGACCGCTTTTTTCAGATGTGAAAATGATTCTAGGGAATGTATGCTATCTGGTAGGGAGTTGAATACAGTTGGTCCCAGAAAATTATAGGACCTCTGATCTACATTCTTGGATGCATATGGTATGATATATTTATTTTTGTGGCGTGTGATATACTCATGGCTCGGCCGACTTAGTTTTCTCTTTTCCTTATTTCTTAGGTCGAACATCCCAGATTCCTCATACAACTTGTCACTACTATAGCGGAGAGACTTGTTCAACATTAGTTTCAAGAATTTCCTCTGTATTACGTTTAATGGATACAGGTAAGTTTTGGATACTCCTCCCCATCCTATTAGGCAGTATGTCAAATGACTTTGTATGTAATAATAAATATTCGATAAAACGTTTCGTGTCAACATAGTCATCAACTTATTTTTTTTCAATACAGATCTTTCTTTTTTATTACAGATATTGATAAAGCAATAAATCCACCTTCCAAGGGTATATCACATTTGATATTTTTATAGCGTTTTATTTGAAATAACTACCATCATCAGTGACAACAATTTTAAATTACGGTCCTGTCGTTACTTCTTTTGTAATTTTTTTCAATTTCTTCAAAATATAATTCAGACAACCCAATAAATTCGACAGGTAGGTACCCTAATCAATAATAATTCGTAATATTTTATAATTCTCAATCCTGCAAGTAACAAAAATATCAGTTTTTGGTCAAAATTCGATTGTTGTATAATTTGGTATGATCAAATAACATCTCAATTCATTTACCATCTTAAGCGCGTAGGCTTTACTTGGTTTCTATGGAAGGAAAAATAAAAGCGTTTTTGATATCTGTTGAGAATTGTCAAACGTTAATGAACATATCAAAGATGTATTCAAATGATGATAGGACTGATATGCTATTTAGTTATGAAAAATCAAATAGAAATCCTCCTTTGCCAAGGAATATGTATGTTGAGCTATACCTGAATCGTCGTATTCCGAACATCCAAATGTTTAGACACATTTGATTTATAATTGTCCTTCCTTTTCAGCTCAATCTCTCAAAGAAAGATATTCTTTGGTTAAATCTCAAAATTGGTGTTCTAATTGCCTAGGTTTACGCCATAATTCTTAGGTTTGCTCTACTACCACTATGTGCAAGAAATGTTCTGGTAGACACTACACACGTTTTGTAGTGTGTAGTGTCTACACACTACACACGTTTTGAAAATTTTTCTCAACCCCCAGTCATTTGTAATAATGATCAACCTTGTACCTCAAATGCTGTTTGCTTATCAGATAATCCTGAATATTCTCAACCTCGTGTCAATCTCTTGTCTCATTGTAATTCTACTGTCCTTCTCTCTACTGCTGTAATTCAAGTCAAAGAAAAACATGGAAAATTTCATAAAGTTAGAGCTGTCCTTTACAGTGCAAGGCAGTCTAATTTTATCTCCTCAAAATGTGCTCATCGTTTAGGTTTATCTCTCGATACGATATCTGTCTCTATTTCTGGCATTGCTCAGAAAGACTCTTTTTCTCAACAAGGTGTTACTTGTTCTCTCCTCATTTCAATCTGGACTTTATAGTCATTCCAAAGATATGTTCTAGTTTACCTGAACAATCTCTTCCTATTCACATATTTCCTCAGTTCTCGAAATTTTCATTGACAGATTCTTAGTTCAACATATCTGCACCTGTAGATATATTTTTGGTGCTCATATTTTTGGTTCACTTTTCACCTGTTTTGGTTGGGATCTTGATCCCATTCCTTATAGCTCATTGTTCGCACTGATATGTAATCACAGGTGAAAAAGGCAAAGATTAGGTATCAGTCAGGTAGTGAATAACACTAGTACGATAACAAAATACTAGGAATTAGTTCAATGGCTCTCATTATGCAAGGTAATGATTCTTGTAGAAGCATATAAAAACAATCATATAGCTCGTAAGAGTAGTTTTAGTCATCTCTTGATGATGCCAACTTGATTAGCGAAACGCATGTCGAGAAACAACATTTTTGTTCTGGTCAGGGAAAAGTGTTTTCATTTTACGCCAGAGGTTCAAAATTTTCCTAATCAAAACAACGCCAGTTATACAGATAGTTACACGTATCTTGTATCTGACTACAATTCCGAACATTTGTTTACTTGATTGACCCCAATCATAAGTTCAAGAATATGCGAACTTTAAATATCAACATGTTGAGTAAACTAATTTACAGTTTAAGAATCAGCTTCCAGCAGTTGATAGGTGAAAGTTTACAATTGAGAAAAAAAAGAAAGATGTGGAGGTATAAAGCCAATAACTTTTGGTTCCCAAAAACTCTCCCAGAAATATATCCCGTTCAATTTCACAATTGAGTTTTCAACATTTGTGAGCGAGAGGTAATGAAGATTTCAAATTATATTCTTTCCCATTATATAGCATACTGACTTCAAATAGATGACTATTCAAATTTTATTTGATGAAATGAATGAAATGATGAAGGACATACAGGGTGTTCCTTAAACACATGCTAATATTCAAGAAGGTAATTTTCAGACCCCTTTTAAGAAAAAAACTTCCTATGGACGTATGTCCTAAACGCCTTAACTTTTGAGATACAGGGTGGCAAAATTTTCAAAAATAATCAGTTTTTTAATATTAACTGAGATAATTTTGTAGACATCTTTGGCATATTTGGTACATATGTTT